GACTTTGGTGCAGGATTGCTCTCCATACAAGTCAATAGGAATGTAAACGTAGCTCTTAGCAGGTCAAATACACCTGTCAAACACCGAATGATCTTCGAATGCTTTTAAACTGATCTCGGATGCAAGCAGAATGCACCTGGAGGCTAGCTGCATTTGCCAAAAACACAAGCCCTTAAATCACCTGCAGCCCCAATTATATTTCTAGACATGTACTACTTCCATTCCTGGTTGGTTTTCCAGAAGTACAACTTCCATAGCAGTGAATGAAATCGTTCACCATGTACTTAAAAGATATGGTCACCCTTCAGAACATCCCTAATTGCAGCAAATCCCTAATAGTGACTCATCGCCTTTCTTCCTGCTAAAACTATCACCAACTTAAAAAAATTGCGGGAAAAAAAAAAGAAGAGGGATATTTAATGTTGCAGGCTGCACATCGCCTAGTTTTGCCATGTGTGCTGACTGATGAGAGCTTTCCTTCTTCAGAGGCCTTGGTTTGCCACGCACCAACCCAGCACCTCTGTTGAACACACAGATCAGCACCAAAGCCATACAATCAAATGCGCCGACTCACCTCTAATGTAAAAAAAACCCCATACATAGAGGAAACAAGGATAGGATTGAAAACTATCTTCCTACCTTGGAGCTGCTAGCAGGTGTATCCACCAGATCAGACAACCCTGCTGTGACCACTGAGTCCGTGCATGCAGACCCCTGCACCATTGACTCCAGCTCTCGTGCCCCGCTCCTGATGCTCCCCCTCCCCCCCTTGCGGGTGTGTTGGCCGCAAGGGGTCTGCGACCTGCTGCCTCTCCCATCATAGGATTGTTCCGTAAGCGAGGACCGAGCGGATGCCGACATCCGGAAGTGGTGCCGCTGGCAGACACCATTGAACAGGTAAGTTCAGCATAAGGTCAAAACAAGGAGGAAGAGGTATCGCAGTATGGGGGACTCCAATGAGTCCACTACACCAGAAGGATAGGTGCCTCACACACACTTATGCAGGAAACCTCAGGCATCTACAGAAAAACTTATTTTGGACAGATGGGGATTGTCCTGGGAGCCCCCGTCATGAGTACCTCAGGTCCCCTGACCCTGTATGCCGTGGGAGGCCCCTGCTCACTAGCACGAAGGCCTAGCTAAAACAACAAATGTTACGATGTCCTGCTTGGCCGGAGGAAACACAACATAACTGAGGGATGCAAGGCATGTGATCCTTTTTTATTAGGTCTAGGTGATGTGTTTCCTGTTTTCCGGTGAGAGGAGCCTGTCTCTATGATGCTGTCCTGGAAGGTGACTAAAGAAAAATAAAGTATTTAAAATTCTAACTTTTCCGCATTTGCAATGTGGTTGTGAACTTGCTTCAGGAAGAGTGAATTACCTATCACAGCTCCCTTCCTCCCATATCATAGCCGTGAGCCAGAATCTCCAACCCTCCTCTCACTTTCCGACTTTTCTTTTCCTCATTTGCTGAATGCTTATTCCGTGTTTGTAACATAGACGTACTGAAGACATTTTTTTCCATTGTTTTCTTCCACCAGTGCAAACAAAGGATTGTACAATTCCCCTGGTAATAACTGCTAACTGTGATCATAACTTGTTAAGCCCATTGTCTTCTTTTATTACTGCATTATATACTGATAATATCGAATAGGAGTTTATTCTAAGATTAAGTATTGAAGCCAGACTCATCCACATGCAAATAGCTTTTTATTTTCTCCTTCAGGGGGAGGTCAGCAATCGCAGCCCAGTTTTCTTTCATGGAAGGTGTACTTTTCGAAATGGATACAAAGGCTTGCATAGACACTCCATATAGAACACCGATGCAGCACCCTTGCATCCGGCAAAGAATTGTGAAGACTCTCATTCTAAGATGCTGCAGTCTATTTATTGCCAAACAGTGCTAAATGATTCATCTCTGATTCAAGTGCTTGCTTATACTGAGCTATTTGTCACAAAGCTTTTACACTCAGATCCGACGTGCACTATGCTTTCATTTTACCTGGCAATGTTACCCGCTGCTGAAATGATCGAATTCTGTGACAAGGATGCCACCCTACTCATTGCATTACCATCCTGTCCCAAGTCATACACCTGGAATACAAAATACAATGGTCATAATTCTCAACAGGACAGCCTAATAAAATTGCAACCCTTTATATTTAAATGCAAAGATCCCTTCTAAAACGAAAAATAAGAATCCCCTCTTGTCTAAAATACAATTTTAGATGTTGCTAGTGAAAATAAATGTAATTATAAATTTGCAGTGTGCTAATCATCTAGGATTTGAAAGTTAACAGATTCTTTGCAAAACATATTTCACAGCTCGATAGATTGGGGAAGAGTAAATAATACTTATGTAATCTCCACACCGTTCAATTCATGACCAATTAAACTGGTGGGTGGTTGAAATGACAGCATTGAAAGATGCAGTAGAATCTAGAAGTCAATATCACTCCAATAGGTTTGGATTTTTTTTTAACTACTTTATTGTGAAATCTTCTTGTCACAGGGTTAATACCAACATTTTGGGGCCTCACAGGTTCTCTTCTTCAAGAAAAAGTAACCACCAATATCACTATTTTGCAGTGAAATAAAAGAAACCCTGTGATGCCCCATAATGACCCTGTGACATCAAGTTTCCACTAGGGATGCTCCGATTTCACTTTTTTAAGACGGAGTACGAGTACCAATACTTTTTTTCCAAATACTCGTCGAAACCAATTACCGATACTTTTTCTTAAAAGGGACAGGTCACATTTTTTCTAAAGCAATACAAAAAATGGAGTCTGGACATGTGCTCATCTATTTTCCCCAATAGGAGGATACAAGCCTTAGTTAGCAATATCTACATAGTTATTTCTTTATTTAATGTCTTTAAAAAATATATTATATGCAGTTAAAGAGCATTTTTGTCCCCAGCCCCCATACGGTGCTGCAGTACTAACCTGCGGTGTCGTCTTCTCCGTCTGCTTCAGCCACTCCGTGTCACAGCCTAGTCATCTGCTCCATTCTGATCCCTTCGCCCGCTGATTGGCCAATTGGATGATGACAGGCTTCCTCACCAGTCATGCCTGACTGGTGAGGAAGCCTGTCAATCATCCAATCAGCGGGAGAAGAGGTCAGAATGGAGCAGATGACTGAGGACTTGGAGGAGGAGTTCGCGGCCATCTTGTTTCATTAAGGACGCTATGGAGGTCCTGTGTGCGGCGGTTTCAGGTCCTTGAAGATGGCGGACGCGGCACAGGTACTCGTTTTTTGTATCGGAGTATTTGCACAAGTACTCATGCAAATACTCAGTATCGCCGCCGATACCGATGCTTGTATTGGTATCGGAGCATCCCTAGTTTCCACAATAAGGCACTGCTAGTGACATTCTACTAGTTTTTGATTGTTGTCCGTAAAATGCCCCAGGGACTGAAAAAAAGGACATACTTTACCTGTAGTACTCCTTTCTCAGAGCGAGTGTATAAGATATTCCTTGAATTGTCTACAGCAATCTGGACTATAGGATCTAAAAAGGAACAGGATAAAGTATTAATGCTATGAAACAAAATGCAAACCGCTCAGATGAGACTGGTTAGAAAGCAGATTAACCCAAGGAAAGGACACAGCAACAACACTACAACAGAAGACGGCATACATTTCCTTTGTAAGACAATAAAAAAAAAAAAAAAAAAGAAGGTTAAACTACTCTGGAAATGCTTTCAGGAAGTGAAAAATCTCACATCAAGGTAGAGGGATGCAATGTATGTAAACACTCTATTAAACAGCAAACCCAGCCAACAATTGAAACAAATCAGTAAACTGCAAAAAAGTACTAAAAATTGTACCATTCTCTGGGCATTTCACCGCATTCAAAGAGCACACAGGGGCTCATAGCTAATGTGGTGATCATATGTGGGAACCATGCTGATTGGTCACTAAAAACAGAACACAGAACAATGTCCTCTCCTTACGGGACATCAGTAAAGAGTACATTAATCTAAAGACTGAATATGGAAAGCAGTTAAAAGCTAAAAGGCAGACAGTGTTACGGGTCAAGTAGCCCTGTAATGCATTTCTATGGAAAAAAAAACCTAAACTCTCCTTTACCAATTTTTTTATGGATTGCATGCCAGCTCACAGGGTCAGGACCAGCCAGAAAAACCACACAGGTAATAACTGACATATAGTAATGCTTGCATTTGATTTAAAACAAAAAAAAGAACAAGTCTTTATATGCAACTGTCCTTTGCCTCACGCAGACTGAGGAAAGACATGTCACGTGACATAATGTGACACAACAGCTGCCTGAAAACATGTCAAATAAATAACCAGAATTTTTTGTCTCGCTTTTTTTTTTTGTGTGAAGAAGAACGTTCCAGCTCAAGGATCAGTATTTTCTTAGAATAAAGTTTAATTTACAAAACACATTTGAGCCGTCAAAGCTCTTTTGCGGGAAGGAACCACAGTTTATTCCTTTTCCCCATAAAAGTCAACTGGGTATGCAGGGGCTTGCCCCAGGATTAAAGGAGAATTATGAGGCGCGTGATTTTCACTCAGCCTCATAATCTGAGCCGACCTGTGACAGTGAAACTGTCACAGGTCGGCTCAGTAGATCGGGAAGTGAGCGAACACATACCGTCGCTCGCTCACTTCTCGATCTAGCCGTGCAGAGAGGCGTGACTGTCACTCACGGCACCCTCCAGGGATTTCCCCCCTCTAGATAGGCAGAGCCAGCTGTCACTCACGCAGCTGGGTGGATCCAGACAGCATTGTCGGGATCCATTTCGTCTTCGGCGTCTCAGTATACTGCGAGCTGCAGCTTGGGTGACGAGAGGACGCTAGTTTGGGTGACGGAAGGACGCTAGTTTGTGTCCTCCCGTTACCCTTAGGAGAACTATGGGGAAAAGCCCATACCCCATAGTTCTCCTTTGATGCAGCTACAACAAGGGGGTGGGCAAGAGGCAAATCCTATGTTCTTGTATGCATCTCTACCACTGACCTAGACTCTGCTGCAGAGGTGGTTTTACATTGGTGGAAATATAACACGTCGAAAGACACTTAAGCACTGTGTAGTTAGGAATTGCGGTACTGTGCATTGTGTGCAACCAATGGCCAAAGGGAGGTACGTTAGGGTGCCATGCAAACGAATGACAACGTAATGCAGCTAGCGCACAGTACGGCACACTAGGGGAGCCGTGTGATGGCGTGAGCTAAACGTATGCTAATGTGCACTAAGTGAAAAGCAAAAGTCTGGATGATCCCTAAGGGCTGTTACTTAACTTCCTGTCCCAGACACTTAACAGTAAGAGAAAGAGTCATACTGATTTCAACTGTTTTCTACCCGATTCAAAACTTAAAACATTTAGGCATTTAATCAGCTGGAAAGTACAGGGACTGCCTAGATATTTTCCAAGCCTGCAAAATCACCTTCCTGAAAATAATTTACAGCTTTTTATTTGCATTCATACATACCTGATAAGCCACCTCATACAGGCAGCCATCTTTTCCAGACAAGAAGATGCGTCCGTTTTTGGTAGACGTTATGGACAGTAGGTAGGTGTTGTCCGTCGGGATGGAATAGAGTGGATCTGGCAGGAGCTGCATTCCTACAGACATGCTGTCATTCAGGTCTCCTCCTACCATCAGAAAAAAAACAGATACCATTTAGAAAATAAAAAAATAAAATTGTGATTCATTTTTGAGCTACAGTGCAATAAAAATGACATTATGTAAGAGCTGTGACTGCTGACTTTTAATGATATTATAAAGCTGTAAGTTCACTGGCTTTACTTAAAGACGATGGTCAAACTATAAAAAATAACATATGTGATATAGCCTGCCCATGCCAGCAAAGCTGGGCTCTCTGCTTTTCTAAGTACTACCTTGAACTTTTTGTAAATACCAATAATGGTCCTATCAGTGAATAGCAATGGCTAGCACTGCCCACAGCCCTTAAGATTGGCAGCACATTGCTATCTGCAGGAGCTCAGGGAAACATTGCAGGAGTTCTGGTCAGTCCCACTCACCCCTTACCCACACCAGCACAATGTAGCAGGGTACAGGAGTAATCCAGCTTCCCAGCTACATTTACCATTAAAAATAAGTACATTACATTCCTTAACCTGAAAATGCATTTATCATTCTTAAAAGGAAAAATACTACAGGCTTTAAGATGGACTGAGTCACTAGCCTTAAACAACCATGCAGCCAATGAAGTTCAAGCTATACCTATAATAATATTATGTTACTGGCTGACTAAACAGCAAAGCTTTACAGGTCTAATTTCAATTGGACGAGCAGACTAAAACGACAATTGTTTAGGAAGGATGGCTTAGGTATCTTTCACAGACATGGTGTAAAGAAATGCAATTGTTGTCATAATATATATGCCCTAAAGCAGGATAAATGAACTATTTTGTACTTAATTTATATTTTTTTAAAAATGTGTGCACAGACACGGGCTTGGAAGAAACAGCTTAATATAAGTGAAGCCCCCAATTTCAGGAATTGCTAACAAAAATCAGACTGTTTGTGATCTACTAGGAGGTGAAAAAGGGCACCTGTAGATCATCCTACCAGGTAGATTTTACAATTAGTTTAAAAGCCTCTGAACAAATGGCCTGCTCTGTCCGTCTTCTGTGTAGAAGTGTGAAGGAGGGAGGATCTACTGCGTAGAAGAGTGAAGGAAGGAGGTTCTACTGCGTAGAAGTGGGAAGGAAGGAGGTTCTACTCTGCAGAAGTGTGAAGGAAGGAGGTTCTACTCTGCAGAAGTGTGAAGGAAGGAGGTTCTACTCTGCAGAAGTGTGAAGGAAGGAGGTTCTACTCTGCAGAAGTGTGAAGGAAGGAGGTTCTACTCTGCAGAAGTGTGAAGGAAGGAGGTTCTACTCTGCAGAAGTGTGAAGGAAGGAGGTTCTACTCTGCAGAAGTGTGAAGGAAGGAGGTTCTACTCTGCAGAAGTGTGAAGGAAGGAGGTTCTACTCTGCAGAAGTGTGAAGGAAGGAGGTTCTACTCTGCAGAAGTGTGAAGGAAGGAGGTTCTACTCTGCAGAAGTGTGAAGGAAGGAGGTTCTACTCTGCAGAAGTGTGAAGGAAGGAGGTTCTACTCTGCAGAAGTGTGAAGGAAGGAGGTTCTACTCTGCAGAAGTGTGAAGGAAGGAGGTTCTACTCTGCAGAAGTGTGAAGGAAGGAGGTTCTACTCTGCAGAAGTGTGAAGGAAGGAGGTTCTACTCTGCAGAAGTGTGAAGGAAGGAGGTTCTACTCTGCAGAAGTGTGAAGGAAGGAGGTTCTACTCTGCAGAAGTGTGAAGGAAGGAGGTTCTACTCTGCAGAAGTGTGAAGGAAGGAGGTTCTACTCTGCAGAAGTGTGAAGGAAGGAGGTTCTACTCTGCAGAAGTGTGAAGGAAGGAGGTTCTACTCTGCAGAAGTGTGAAGGAAGGAGGTTCTACTCTGCAGAAGTGTGAAGGAAGGAGGTTCTACTCTGCAGAAGTGTGAAGGAAGGAGGTTCTACTCTGCAGAAGTGTGAAGGAAGGAGGTTCTACTCTGCAGAAGTGTGAAGGAAGGAGGTTCTACTCTGCAGAAGTGTGAAGGAAGGAGGTTCTACTCTGCAGAAGTGTGAAGGAAGGAGGTTCTACTCTGCAGAAGTGTGAAGGAAGGAGGTTCTACTCTGCAGAAGTGTGAAGGAAGGAGGTTCTACTCTGCAGAAGTGTGAAGGAAGGAGGTTCTACTCTGCAGAAGTGTGAAGGAAGGAGGTTCTACTCTGCAGAAGTGTGAAGGAAGGAGGTTCTACTCTGCAGAAGTGTGAAGGAAGGAGGTTCTACTCTGCAGAAGTGTGAAGGAAGGAGGTTCTACTCTGCAGAAGTGTGAAGGAAGGAGGTTCTACTCTGCAGAAGTGTGAAGGAAGGAGGTTCTACTCTGCAGAAGTGTGAAGGAAGGAGGTTCTACTCTGCAGAAGTGTGAAGGAAGGAGGTTCTACTCTGCAGAAGTGTGAAGGAAGGAGGTTCTACTCTGCAGAAGTGTGAAGGAAGGAGGTTCTACTCTGCAGAAGTGTGAAGGAAGGAGGTTCTACTCTGCAGAAGTGTGAAGGAAGGAGGTTCTACTCTGCAGAAGTGTGAAGGAAGGAGGTTCTACTCTGCAGAAGTGTGAAGGAAGGAGGTTCTACTCTGCAGAAGTGTGAAGGAAGGAGGTTCTACTCTGCAGAAGTGTGAAGGAAGGAGGTTCTACTCTGCAGAAGTGTGAAGGAAGGAGGTTCTACTCTGCAGAAGTGTGAAGGAAGGAGGTTCTACTCTGCAGAAGTGTGAAGGAAGGAGGTTCTACTCTGCAGAAGTGTGAAGGAAGGAGGTTCTACTCTGCAGAAGTGTGAAGGAAGGAGGTTCTACTCTGCAGAAGTGTGAAGGAAGGAGGTTCTACTCTGCAGAAGTGTGAAGGAAGGAGGTTCTACTCTGCAGAAGTGTGAAGGAAGGAGGTTCTACTCTGCAGAAGTGTGAAGGAAGGAGGTTCTACTCTGCAGAAGTGTGAAGGAAGGAGGTTCTACTCTGCAGAAGTGTGAAGGAAGGAGGTTCTACTCTGCAGAAGTGTGAAGGAAGGAGGTTCTACTCTGCAGAAGTGTGAAGGAAGGAGGTTCTACTGCGTAGAAGTGTGAAGGAGGGAGGTTCTACTGCTACTTCAAGGTGAGAATCACAGCAGGTCCTAGCACTGAAAAGACTAGGGTCCAGTCAGAGATCTTCAGGATGTTCAAAAGCTGTTTAACTGAGAGGTGGGCAACACAGTAAACAAACATGAACAGGCCCAAGAACATGAACAGGCCCAAGAAAACAACAGAGAACTAGGGATTGTCTGCAGCTCTATGATCTGCTTGAAGGACCTTACACTCAAAGCTGGCATCAGAGTGCAGGCAGGGGTGCGCATTTTGTATCGCCCGTTGCCCGGGACATGAAGTTCCGGGCAGGTGGTTTTCCTCCTCATTTAGCCCTGCTGTCGGCAAGCAAAGCTAAATGTAGAGCAGGGAAGCCGATATTGGTTTTATACAAGTGTATAAACTTGTAGCAGCCTTCTTGTCCGTCAACAACAAACCCCCTTCCCCTCCATGATTTTCGGGGTTCCCTGGCTCTTCTGGGAAACCCGGGACCACAGCAAAAAACTTGAGGATAGAGAGCAGGGAGTGGACCGGAGAAAATCCTTTCTCCGGCCTGCTCTGTGTGAACAGTGAGACAAGAGCGCTTTATTCTGAGTTTTGAGATCCAAAAGCCAGGCTAAGGATGACCATGTTAGAAAACTCCAAATCAAGGAGATGGAAAACAAAATTAAAGTAAAAAAATGCTAGCAGTAATAATAACAACAATAACAACATTAAAATATAAGTTATTCTGAACAAAACAGAGCTGCAATAATAATGTCCATACTCCTAGGACACTAGCACATAACCGAAGCATGAGAGGGGTTATCCTGGCCTACAGATTTTTGCTTGCCAGTGTCAAATTCACCTGTAGGCAGCAATATAACCTAAAAGTTCAAAACTTTTTGAGTCCCCCAATGGATGAGAAAGAAAAACACCAATTCAGGGTCAAAGGTTAACAAGAAATTCTTATAAGGCCACGGATAGATGTGGATACTGTAGTATATGACAATTTACTGCAGACCCTATCCTATGCAGCTAAATATCCAGGCCAGTTAACAATGCAGTGCGCTAGGGTAAGTGCTAAAATCGACACCATAGGTAAACATGATCGCATCTATATCTGAAAATCACAGATAGTCAGGTATACAAATTTTATGCTAGCATGCCTGAGAACAAATTCAAGAAAAAAATAAAAAAGTTTCCAGGGATAATGTAGTTCCTTTGATATAGACAAAAACATAATAATGATCTTACCTGCTTGCATATTGGCAAAACTCAAACCCAGAATAACAATGTCGACAGGTGTGGCGACAACCAGCAGATACCGAATGTGAGGCTGGAAAATTCCTGATAAGAAGGAGAAGAAATTCAATAAACGGATTACTGATCAGCAGAGTGTGTTGAGGACTGCAGTCTGCACACATCACTTACCTTCTTTAGGTCTCACAAGGCCAACAGCCAGGATAGTTTCACTGAGTCCATCAAAATAAGCCACATCCCCGCTAAACAATAAAAAGCATAGAAAAATATTACAAGATTAGGAACACCAAAGCGCTACTGCAGTGGTATAGTTGTATATTTACCATATTTATGTTGTTTAGAAGATGCTTAGAAAATATCTCATTCAGAACCTCATTAATTCTGATGTGATCCAGTTTGGGGGAGGAGCAAATCCATTTAAAGCTCATCTTGAATATTATGACTCTTACACTGTATAAGTGATCAAAGTACTTTCATTCCAATAGTGTTTGTACCTTACTCTCCTCTCTGACACGCTGTCACAGGAGGCTGAGCGAGCGGTGCAGGGAGGAGAGCTTAGCCTCCTGTGACAGCGCGGGCTGTCTCCACCCACACACCGCTCTGCCAGACTGTGATAGGAGGCTGAGCTGTGTGGGAGGAGAGACACCGGCCGCTCACCTCCCACAGCGCTTGGCCGCCTGTGACAGTTTCTCTCCTCCCCGCTGGAGGAGGAGAGAAAGCGCTCTGCGCCCAGCGGGGAGGAGAGAAAGAACGGATACTCCGCTATTTCGGCAGAAAAATTGCACTTTTGGCATTTAGCCAAAAGTGCTATTTGCGGCTGATATGTTTCGGCAACCGATATTTCGGTGCATCCCTAAATTCAACTGAATATTTAGGTGTTCTTCCTGGAGCTCGGCTTTAAATATAAAACTAATATGCATTTGCAACAAAACCTCAAAATGTACTCCAAACAGATCACATCTCTAGAGTCTCTGCCATCCTTTGGAAATCCCAATACCAACCTGTTCATCTATCCCCTACTCTGTCTGCCTTTAGGCGATCCCTAAAGACTCATCTCTTCAGGGAAGCCTATCCCGCCTTAACCTAACCACTGAACTATCACACAGCTACCACCGCTTCCATCACTTGCCCCTTCCTTTTAGATTGTAAGCTCTCATGGGCAGAGCCCTTCTAACCATGTTGTCTTGATTTATATTGTAACTGTAATGTCTTTCCAAAAAGCGCTACAAAAACTGTTGGTGCTATATAAATCCTGAATGATGATGATATTATTATTAATACTACCAGAGGTGTAATGTTGAGAGAGTAAAAAAAGGACATACCCATCCTCATAATTCCACATGAAGATATCACTGTCGATGGTGAGCCAAGCCCTGCTGATTTCCGGAAATACTCCCATCATACAGTTACATTGCATGTCTTAAATGATAATGTAAGGAGGAATCTTATATAAAGCCACATATCACATGTACACAACAATTCTTCAGAAAGATCATGTAAGGAATATGTCTGTAGAAATTATATCACATATGCATTTCATATAACAAAGGACACTGGATTCCATTCCCAGGAATCTTCCAGGACAGCAGGGTATTCCATCATGTGCTGTCCTGGAAGATGATTAGGGGAAAACACAGATACATAAATCCTTCAATGACCTTATTTCAGGCATTGGATTCTTTCTATGACAAACTTAAAAAAGACTTCTAAGGATACGCCCAAACTGTTCCACCAGCTCCGGGGGAAGGGGAACTCTATGAACTGCGCTGAGCTCCGGCAGGCTGGGGATGGTTAGCATGCCGGGTCCCTGTAGAGGATAGTCCATTTCAGATATGCCTGACACTGTTGGACAATCTGCAAAAAAAAAACAACAACAATTCAGTCACAAACAGTTTACACCAAATTATACATTAATCATGTAGTAGAGCAGAGGTTCATGTGCCCTACTAAAATGTATATTTGTCAGTGCTGTCTCTTAGGTGTGTGGCCATATCCCAAAAGTGCATGGGCCCACAGGGTGCAGCAGTGAAATTCAGATTTACTATACATAGCGGCAAGAGGGAAAACCAAGACAATTATACCCTAGCAAATAACCTAAAAAGCAGGGGTGATCATACAGTCACGGTCAAAAATATTGGCTCCCCATGCATGCCTGTCAGATAATGCACCACTTTGTGCAGAAAATTGTTGCAATTAGAATTCTTAAGTCATTGTCATGTTTATTTCTTTTGTTTGTATTGGTATGACACAAAAAAGCTGAGATAAAGAAAGCCAAACCTGACACATTCCATGCAAAACTCCAAAAATGGACTGAACAAAATTTTTGTCATCCTTAATGAATATTTGGTAGCACAGCCCTTGGAAAAAAACAAGTGAAATCAATGGCTTCCTGCAACCATCAATTCGTTGTTTACACCTGGATCTGGACTCGTTGCTGGCCAGTCCAGTATATTCCAGCACTTTGTCTGAAACCATTTTTGGGTGCTTTGGGTCATTGTCCTGCTGTAAGACCCAGGACCTCTGACGGAGACCCAACTTTCTGACACTGGGCCCTACATTGCACCCTAGAATTCTTTGGTAGTCTTCAGATTTCATATTGCCATGCACACAGTCAAGACATCCAGTGCCTGAAGCAGCAAAGCAACCCCAAAACATCAACGACCCCTTACCATATATGACTGTAGGGACTGGATTTTTTCCATTTCTTTTTCTGAAAACAGTAGAATAATGGGCTGCACCAAAAAGCTGTCATTTTGTTTCGTCTGTACACAGCACATTCTCCCAAATGGATTTTGGCAAAATCCAATCTGGCTCTTTTATGTTTCTGTGTCAGCAGTGGGATCCTCCTGGGTCTCCCATCATTCAGATGGCGACGTATAGTGCAAGCTGACACAGTTGTACCCTGTGCCTGAAGATCAGCTTGAATTTGTCTGAAGTTGATGGAGGGTCTTTATCCACCATTCCAACAATCCTTCCTTGCAATCTTTGATCAATTGTTCTCTTTCTTCCACATCCAGGGAGATTAGCTACAGTGCCATGCGCTTTAACCTTCTTGACAATATTGCACACAGTGGACAGAGGAACATTAAGATCTCTGGAGATGGACTTGTAACCTTGAGGTTGTCCATGCTTTTCCACAAAAACTTGCATGGCATTTTTGTGGAAAAGCATGGAATGCAATTATTTCTTGCAATTTGGAGAAGGTGCCAATAATGTTGTCCAGTCCATTTTTGGAGTTTTGAAATGCATCAGATTTAAGCCTGGTTCACACCTGGGCGTTTTACAGCGCGTTCCTACGTGCTGTAAAACGCTCAACATGTGAAAAACAATAATTGTCTATGGGCATGGCTCCTACCAGGGCGTTTTACAGCGCATAGAAACGCGCTGAAAAATGCCTTACGCCTAAAGAAGTACAGGAGCTTGTTTGGGGCGTTTTTCCGCGCGTTTCCATTGGTATTCCCGAGTGTGGATCGGGGTTAACAAAGCGGTAACCCCGAGCCACACTCGGGAATACGGCGTACAGGTCATACCTTGTCCGCGATCCCCGCTGTGTCCTCTGGCGGCTGCCGACTTCCGTCCCTTGCGAGCGGCCGCGTCGCAGGGGGCGGAGCCGGTGGGAAGTTTGAAAGCGAAAAAAAAAATATTTTTTTTTAATATAGAGAAAATAAGGAAAAAAACTAAAAAAAAAAAAAATCATACCGCCAGTGAAATGCGCGTTTCAATGAATGAAAAAACATGCTAAAAAACTAGCAGAAAAAATATGCTCAGGTGTGAACCCAGCCTAACATTTGTAATTGCAACAATTTTCTGCGCGAAGCAGAAATGCGGGGTGCCAATATTGTTGGCCATGACTGTACATGCAAAGTAGCTTAGGATGTCATAAAATGCTGATATGTCTTAAAGGAGAACTATGGGGTAATTGTTTTTCCCAATAGTTCTCCTAAGGGTCACGGGAAGACATATACCAGCGTCCTCCCTCGACCCAAAGCTCATTATATCGCGAGCTACAGCTCGCGGTATACTGAGACCGCCGAAGCCGGGACGGATCCCAACATTACTGTCAAGATCCACCCACATTGGCCCGAACTATGAGGTTGAGTGAAAATCACTCACCTCATAGTCCTCCTTTAAAGATATAGTTATCCTTCCTGATATGAATGGTCATCCTTCTGCACAGATGGTTATGCTAAACAAAGGCACCTCAGCACTTATATGTATAGACCACGTTCCATGTTATTGTGGTTTCTGGGGGAACCACTTTATATTCTGCAGTTTAAGGCCCCGTCCATACCTGCACATTCAACTTTTGTTGAATGGAGGGGTGCACACTGGGACAAATACTGCTCAAAGTTCAACAAGTGACAGCTTTATGATCTGGTAGTACAATCTCCCTTAGATCTACCACCCACTTAATGTGAGGGCTTGTCTGATCACATAGAAGCTGAATGGACCGATAAGGAAGACACTTTTATTTTTAGTTCATCTAAAGCAGATTGTACAAAGAAATGTACAATCCGACTGTAACATGATCAGCTTACAATGTGCTCCCAAGTAATGTGCCCTTTATCAGACCAAATACACAGAGCACGCTGCAGTTCCCAATGTGCTGCACCCACAAATGTGCAGTTGGGGGGCTTACCAGATTAGGCTTATTTCACCATGCGGATAA